CCCCCCCCCCCGAGAGCCAGAGTTCGTGACACTGCGCCATGAGCCGCCCGCCCGCGCCCTAATGTAATCAGGCGATCACAGACGGACTTGTCCACACGAGTTGGGAATTGTGACACACCTTGCGGACAGGCGCTTGCTTTGGTTAGCGGCATTATTAGTAGCTGAAGGGGAGCCGCGATAGCTCAGTCGGTATAGTGACTGGCTGCCGAGGGCTCGGTGTTCGAGTCCCGGTAAGGTCAAGAATTTATCTTCTCCATATCGTCCAGACCGGCTCTGGGGTCAACCTAACCTATTCAATGGGTACCGGGGTTAAAGAGGCAGAGACGTGAAGCTGACCACTCACTTCCAGATACTATACATCCACTTCCCCATACGCCTTCATGACGTAGCACAGGGGCAACTTTACCTCTACTTATCAGTTGTAAATGGTAAATAATAAACTGGAAAGGTCGCGTGGAAGGAAGAGGTCGTGGCCTAATTTAAGGTTCTCTCTCGCCGTTTGTTTGGAGAGACAGGGTAAAACCACGGAGAAGCTCAATCGAAATATCCGGTGTCCCGACCAAGTTTCGAACAGGAGTTCCTCCGAGCGGAAGCCAGTAGCAGTCCCAGTCCGTTTGCTTAAACTTGTTTCTATTGGACTTGCAGACTATTTATAAAATACGAATCATTCCATCGGCTTTGAGGTCTATTTTAGACGCTTTTTTCTTATAGAAGAGATGAGGAAAGGTAAAGTTATTCCTGTGCTTAATTAATTAGGCACTACTCCATGAAAACATGGGGGAGTGGAGGTATAGCTCCACCATTCTTGACCTCGGCACTGGTTTGAGGTGAGTGGTCGGCTTCACGCTCCGATCGCTTTACCCCCCGGTACCCATTGGGTAGGAGGCTTTGTGGGCACCAGAGTCGGTGTGGAAGCTGTGGAGAAGAAGAAAATCTTGCACTGCCGGGAATTGAACCGCGACCATCCGTCAATGTACCGGCTGTGCTATCCTTGCTCCTTATAGGAAAGGTATTTTTTGCCATTATAATAATCCGTATGTGGAAGTTCCCAGCGACTCGGGGAACTTACGGCCTCCATCTTCAGGGTAGAAACCTCGCGTCACATGCCAGAACACAGTAAGCTCACGTTACTGATTTTCCTTCTCCTCGACCCTTTCCTTTCCTTAATCCTATAAATCACAGTGGTAACTATATTTACCACCTGCTTTAACATTAAAGCATTATTTTCCCATGTACATATTTCGTATCACTACGCCATGAAGGTGTATGGTGGAGTGGATGTATAGATCCACATTTCCTTGAACTCGTCACTAGCTGAAGCTGAGTGGTGAGCTTCACGCCCCGGCCGCCTTACCCCCAGAGAGAGGCCCCGATACCAATTGGATGGGCGGCTGGGTGGACCCCAGAGTCGATCTGGACTACGTGGAGGAGAGAAACATTTTTGACCCTACCGGGACTCGAACTTCGACCCCCCCCCAAGTCGTCCAGACTGTAGGCAGTCGCTATCCCGGCAGTGCCATGATAGTACCTGGATTAAATCACGACCGCTTCCTTCCAGATCCTTTGCAAATGAACATTCATCCGTGATCCTGCCATCTGGCCCTATAAAGTCTTAACGTAAGGAATTGCGTGCCTGTTCTTATCTGCGAGCAATCTGACACGAAACGTGTTTGATCTCCTGACGGTCTCCGTTTCATGTTTAAACATGACATTAATTAGCATAACAGCTCATGTATACTTTGATAATATGAGTAATTGTAAATTGCCACAAACCCCACTACTGCCCCCCCTCTCCGCGCCCTGTTCATACGTCATCAGAGTCGTGGAGACACGCTGACTGCAATTCAGTTGATAACTGTTATTTCACCACCTGTACAGAAAGCAACTTTATATTGGGGGTGGGGGGTGATTTCCCTTTGTTGCGGAGGGGCGGCTCGCTGCGTCTTGACCTTGTTTGCTATTGGTCCTTTAGCTGCGAGACATATGTTTGCCGAGGGCTGAGGTAGTTACACAGAAACCAACTGCATCAGGGATTACTTTTCACTGCGGATTAATGAGTGTTGCTCGGACAATTTTCAAATTGGGTGTAAGAAAGAATTGGGTGTGGCTACTTTTCAAGGCTATCGAGAATCTTGTGGTGTGCGTCCCTTGCTGCTGATGTTTGCCGAGGTGTGAATTGATCCGTTTCGCCTGATTTGTACACGGAAACACGGGTTGCATTCGCGTAAGATCAGGCGCGTGAACGGCTTCGGTCGGGCGACTTGCGGTGTGACAGTTTGCGAGCGCACAGAACTGGAAGTGAACGGCGTGGAAATGCAGATTTGTTTATCGATCTCAGGTGGAAATTTGTGTTGAGCGCAGGCAAAAACCTTTGGACGTTGTAAGAATGGCAGTGAATACTTTTTCCCGATTTTCTGTATTGCTCCTTATGAGTCTGAATATGTCGATATGCGGTTTAGAGCGAGTTTTAATGAGTTATTTCCATGGAAATTACGGCGCTAAATATGTAGTTTCGACATGAATTTAACAATGAACAAGCGTTCGATACATTTCGTTCATTGAAGAAGCAGCATTCCGGAGACTGTACGAAAGCTAAGCAGGTAAATTAAAACAAACAAGAAGACTGACTGACTGACTAAATCTCGTGAGATTTGAGGTTTTCGCAGCGGTGACTATGAAGAACGCCTTCTTCTTGGATGTGGCGCCGTGTAGATCTTGTGTTAACAGACTTTTGGAGGAAGGTATCGCCTTTTCTCTTCTACCCTGAAGATGGAGGCGATACGTTCCTCCGAAATGTCCGTTAACACAATATCTACACGGCGCCACATCCCAGAAGACTGCTTTCTTCACTGTCTAAACCATCTTTGAATTATCTTAGATGGTTTGTGTACACGCTGTGAAGTAGAGAAAAGTCTTTCCCCTTCCAGGAATCGAAACCCGGTCCTCTAGGCGCTGTACCGACTGAGCTGTTTCGGCTCTCCCTAAAGCTTGGGGTCGTTTCAAAAGACGCGTCTGACTGTGGGAGGAATTAACGTGAGTAAGGCCAAGGCTTGTGGCCTGCAGGACGGAAGGGAGTTAATACCGAAGAAAATGCTGTAATGTCTGTTGATTTATATGTCCATTTTTATTTACTTATGTACTCGTATTTACATGTGCATTTTAAGCTTACCTGTTGGGCACACGAGATATAAATCCATATTCTTCTTGGGCGTGACGTCGTGCGGTCTTGTATCAGGTTTCCAGTCAGAATATGACTCATTGATAATTACCTACGTGGAACAATATTACCTTGTGGGATGTGAGGACATGGTAGTCTGGCAGAAGTTTACGGACGTTTCGGAGAAACTTACTGTCTCTGTGTAATCCGAGTGTGCATCAATTATAAACTTAGGTAAAATTCTACCAGAATATACGGGGCTATCGAGCGTGTTTGTCATGAAGGTAAACGCTCTGTATTCGTATTCGAGAGGTGTTCGGTTCGAATCTCCCCTCACGTTATGCTGACATTTTAGTGGTTTTCTTCAGTAACTCCAGGCAAATTCACGAATAGTGTATCGATTAACCACGACAGCTTCCTTCCAGATCCTTTGCCGATCCTGCCACTTGACGCTGTGCGCTCAGTAAACCAGGAACAATGCGACGGCTGCTTACGTCACTGTTTTGCAGGTGGAGCCGGCGTCCCCTCAGCCGTCAGTGGACCGCCTGTCGGTGACGTTCGCCCTGGAGGAACGCAGTGTCGGCTCCGACAGTTCCGTGAGGATGAATGTCTTCAATCCGGGCTCCCCACCCGGCGACAACATGGACAAGGACCACTTCCCCAGGGAGCCCACCGCCACAGGTTGTCCACCATTCGATACGTATCTCCATTCACTCTTCTTCAGTTCCTTATCCTTTGATATTCAACGGAGAATCGTTTATTTCCTGTCTTCATCTCTCTTTATTCCCTTCCTTTCCTGTGTTCCTTTCGTACCTTTATCTCCTTCACTCCTTACTTAGATCTGTGTTACTTTAAAACAATGATCTTGCTTATACTCTGTCTAGAACATCTTTGGGTCTACGTCATCAGCAGCAGAAACGTCAGGTATAGATGTGAGTGTTACTGTTCTCGTGAAAAGCGATATCAGATTGTGCAACCTACAAACAATGGTAACTAGGAGCGCCATACCGGAGATCTCGTTGGACACACGGACTTTTCTGCCATAAGGTTGGCTACACAAGGTATGACGGACCCTCAGAGATGTTTTAGACGTTTGCGTCATACAGACGCCACAGTTACAAGCCTGGGGCTGCCACCTGTGGATGCAGATGTGAACAACTTGTTTCCATGGAAATAACACACACATTGTTAATCATAAACTGTCTCATACGTATAAATATATTATTTTCTTTGACTTATATTAATTTACCTTCGGCAAAATTCGCATTTTGTGTGTCTGTTACGAACATTCTGTTGTCGTCCATTTTCCCGGTTCTCTTTTTCCAAGGAGCCGGGACAGCTCAGTCGGTACAGCGACTGGCTACTGGCTGGACGGCCAGGGGTTCGGAGTTCAAGTCCCGGTAGGGACAGGATTTTTCTCCTCACGTCATTCAGACAAGTTTTGGGGCCCACCCAACCTATTATCCAATGGTTACAGAGGGCTCTTTCCTCGGGAATAAAGCGGCCGGGGCGTGAATCTGATCACTCACCTGCAGTAAGTGCTGACGTCAAGCAAATGTGGATCTCTACATCCATGCGTCTTCATGGCGCAGTGCTTAATTAGTTAAGCACAGGAACAACTTTGCCTGTTTCCAAATCTCTCTTCCTCCTAATTTTCTGTCTGAGGTTCGTTTCTCGCTCATTCCGTGGGTTCCAGATAAATTCTGTCACCTGAGATATAATGCCATGTAGTCCGTCCAAATCCAACCGACGTTTCGGAGGACTATGTCACCTCCATCTTCAGTGTAGAAGCGTAAGCCGAACAAGAACAGATCAGTAGGCAGGAAGCAGAGCTATGCTTCACACGTTCTTACAGCTTAACACGTACCGCTGTGAGGACCTCGAATCCCATGAATAATTTATTGCTTTAAGGTTGCACAGATCAGTAGGTGAGTGAGTGAGACATGCGCAATGCTTTCTCTCATAAAGCAATGTTCCCTTACGTCTTTCGGTCTGAAGCCGTAACGGTGCGCCTTACTGTCGCGGCGCGGCAACACATCCGATTCTAGTGTATTGCACACGTATAGCCTGAATACAGGCTCGTCTGTCTTATAACGTCAATTCTACACAGGTAAAGATGTCTGTGCCGGTCACGGTAGCCGAGCGGTCTAAAGCAAGCACTGCCTTCGCTCGCTCGGAAGCCGAGATCGTGGGTTCGAATCCCACTCAGGGCATGGATGTTTAGTTTGCGTGTGTGCATTTTTCTGTGTTTGTGTACAGGTAGAGGCCTTGCGACGAGCTGATCACCCGCCCATAGATCTTGTGCGAACCCACGTTTCGGAGGAACGTACCGCATCCATCTTCAGGGTAGAAAAATCCGCGAGCGAGGAACTAGCGTTGGCAGGTGGCTGCAGGAATACCAATAAACCCAATCATCAATTCCAGAACCGATTATTATTAGTCGCGCAACGCCTTATGCGTGACAATACGTTTCGCTTTGATTGCTGCCCGCTTCAGGTTGGTTACTTACATGGCGTACTTCTTGTCACTGAAGATGGTTATGTGGTCCTGTGAAATTTTAGTGAACATCTACCACAATACAGAGCACTCTGCTGGCGAATTATTCTACCCTGAAGATTGAGGCGATACACTCCTCCGCAACGTCGGTTCGCACATGATCTCCACGGAGCCACACCCCAGAAGATGGCATTCATCTTAGCCACCGCTGTGAAAATGTCAAAACTTACGTGTGTGGATCTGCTCATGGAATGCGCGGAAGAATCCATTTGTGCCCTTGCGCACCTCAGGCTTTATTATTGATCAAAATGGATGAAAATCAAAATTGCCCGACGTCGTTCTTTTTTGAAGCCTCCCATATCAATCTCTAACGAAATCTGTGAAGCAGTTTACGGAAATACGTCAGTGCCCCCATGTAAACCAGGTTTTATTATCTAGCGATGTGGTTGGAAGTCCGGGTGTTCCAGTTAAGTTTTCGTCAAAGTCTCCGATGTCGTGTATCAGAAAAACGTGTCAAATGCTTCATGGAAGAGTTCATTTATGCCCGTACATAAACCACACCTTATTAGGGATCAGTAAATCTATCCCTGTAACAGGCCATGGAGGCCCATAGGGTTGTGAGACGTCGAGGCTCTCACATTTTCTAGGCAATCGGCTCACAGATAATGGTAAGGTTGTCAGCCTTACGCGCCGGCCGCCTTTACCCCCCAGGAAAGTTCCTGGTACTCACTTTTGTTAGAGGCTAAGTCGACCCCAGGGCCATAGTGTGGCTACAAGGATTAGGTCAATTGAAAAACTCTAATGACCTCATCGGGACTCGAACCCGCGACCTTCCGCCTTGTAGCATAATGCCCCAACCAACTACTGTTAAGGATCAGTATGACTGAAATTTTGCTGGATGTTCCCCCCGCATCGAGTTCTGAGAGACTCTGTCGAAGGATGTACTGATACTGGCTCACAGACGGACGGACATGACCTCTACGTAAGGTGTTCTTCGTCACTTTGTAAGAAGCGCCTAATCAGATCGATTCGTTCGCTACATAAAGTCAACAGCGCCGTTGGCGAAAACAGGGCATGCCACGGAAATGCGAGGTTGACAGCTGAGTAGCAGGGACACTGGGGGGCCGCCCCCTGCCCATTATATCGGCAAATATCGCGTTGACAGGACCGACTCTAACAGGACTAAAAAAAAAAATATCGACCAGAAGGAGAGAAAGAGAAGACTTGGACGACCCCTGAAACGATGGAAGGATTCTGTTTTATGGCATCCGGTGCGGGTCTCAGTGCGTATAATATCTGGGAGCGTGGAGGTCGTTATGACGTTGTTGATTCTCGTTACGGTAAAAGGCAAAGCTCCCCGTAAGAGGCCGTGGAGGCCCACAGGGTTGTGAGACGTCGAGGCTCCCACATTTTCTGACAATCGGCTCACAGGTGGCGGTAAAGTTTTCAGCCTTACGCGCCGGCCAGCCCCCTTCACCCCTGGAAGATTCCCGGTACTCATTTCTTAGGAGTAACAATATATCGTATTATACCATGAAACGGCATTACAAAATAATTCACTTCAATCTCTACAACACGGTTCATAATTAGTGTGTGCAGAGCAGTTTTCCCTAGCGGTAACTCTGTAGACTTGCAATCGGGAGACACTCGGTTCGAATGTCGGCCGGAGCACCTCCTATTCCTGACGGAGGATGTTCGCGATTTTCCTCAGTCCCTACAGGCAGATGCTAGAATATTACCTCAGTTACGTCACTTCCACTTCCTGCCAAATCTTTTCCAACTCAGAATTCCTCTGTCACCTTCTGCAGCTGTATTGTCCGAGGTGATAACAGCATCGTTAAACAAACAACAAAACAGTTAACGTGGCACTACACCCTACAGTAACTAGGCGGCTTTATGGGAAGGAGAGTGAATCGCATTCTGGGTCTAGGCGTGAGGCTGACAGTCTCACCGCCATCTGTGAGCCGATTGTCTAGAAAATGTGGGAGCCTCGACGTCTCGCAAGACTGTTACAGGGATAGCTGCACTTTTTTCATTTCTTGAAGGGACGGAAAGAACGCCTGACATGTTTGTGTGATGCAGATGCTGAAGATGACGACGAGGAGGATTACTCCGCGAGTGTGTGCGCCATCCTCCAGCGTCGTGCTACGTCCCGACGACAGAGTAGACGTCGCGCCAGGCGTCCCTCTTCGCCCTTTTCTCCGGATGGGGACAGCGCTCACTCCGGTATCCGGCGTCGGTCGTCTGTGTTCACGACAAGTTCTGGCGAGTGAGTGACGGAGTTTGGTCTGGCACAATGTTCCACCGAATTGTCCGTGGACTTCTACCAGACTTCATGGCATCACATCCCAGAAGATAATACTCAGCATTGTTACCAGTCTCAGAAGCTCAAACACATTTTTGTTGTTGTTTCAACATGGCGGCGATGTGTTGAGTGTCCCCAGTCTATTGAGGGCACGAAGTAATACATTAACAAAACGCGGAACAGTTCTTCTCTCAGTCTAAGGGAGGATCCCAGGCTGAGGGTGTCTGAGAACAGGGCGCTGCTTAACGAAGAATATTTGAACCTGAGATGGTTGTGACAGGAGGTTGGATAAAACTGCATAATGAGGAGGTTCATTACCAGTACAGTCTTCTGGGTTGTAACGCTATGTTGTTCGGAGAGGGTCCGACGTTTCGGAGGAACATATTGCCTCCATCTTCAAGGTTTAAGTGTAAGCCAAACTAGATGGCAGCTTAAGCAGGTAGGAAACTGAGGGAACACCTGTTGTCTGGCATGGGGAGGAAGGCCACTTTTGCATTAGCTTTCTGGCTTGGACTTGGCTTACTCTTCCACTTTCAAGATGGAGAACCTCAGATCCAAGAAGAGGTCTGCAACTTTTCTTTTGTGGGTTGTTCAACAACGCTCTCAATATTGAGACAACATGGCGTGAGATGGTCAGATGATTTTGAAGGGATTTAGAAGGAAGCGGTGGTGGTGTAATCGCGGCTTTATCCCGAAGTATGCCTGGAGGGACTGAGGAATACCATTAAAATCCTCAGTGAGAATATTCGGTGTCTTGGCTGACACGTGAACTGTGCATACCCTGAATTTCCTCCAGACCACTCCGTTCAGCTTCATAATATTACTATGGTGGCCAGAAGGAAAGAGGCCACTGGGAAGACCAAGGCGTAGGTGGGTGGACAATATTAAAATAGATCTTAGAGAGATATGATGGGATGTTACAGCTTGGATTGATCTGGCTCAGGATAGGGACCAGTGGAAGGCTCTTGTGAACATGGTACTGAACCTTCGGGTTACATAAAATGCTGGGAAATTCTTGAGTAGCTGCAGAATTGGTGGCTCTTCCAGAAGGGCTCAGCTCCATGAGTAAGTAAGTAAGTAAATACTCCTTGTCAGTGTCAGATGATTTTGTTGGCAGCACTGCTATCTCGGTGGAGGAGGGTGTTACGCAGGAACAAATCTACGAGAACCTTCGTCTGCACAAGGAAGTACTGTGCAGTGTGAAACAGCAGCCATGGGGCATGCGCCGCAAGTTGCGGCTAGTGCAGCAGGCCAAGGCCTACGTGAAGAGACATGAGGGTGAGCTGCAGGAGCGCCTGGCACAGAGCAAGACTACCCGCGACATCCTCGCATCTTTCAACATCATCCTAGTCAAGGTTTGCGTCTCAAGATTCCTTTCTGGCCTGAAGACAAGAAGAGACTTAGGGTCAAAATTAATTCAGTATCCTTGTTAGAACCGGCTTAGCTGAGTTGATGTAGGAACAGTGCTACTGGATGTACGACCGAGGAATTGGTTAGATTTCTGACAGGAGCACCAGATTTCTTTCTTCTCCATAGCATGGAGACCGCCTCTGGGCTCATCCAGTCACTTTTCCAGTGAGTATCGAAGTCCTTTTCCCTGGTGGTAAGGCGGCTAGGGCGTGAAGCTGAATACTCACCACTATTTAGTGCTGAGATTAATTGTGCATGGAGCCAATCCTCCATTCCTTTTCATGGTGTAGTGCTTAATTCAGCACAGGAGAAACATTACCTTCAGTGCTTGCTTCTGGAAGCATTCTGTGGTGGACTGCAAGAAGTGTCATGGCCCCTGGGGCAGACTTGACTTCCCACTACAGAAAATGCTAATTCAGGTGAGTGCACACATGCGATATGCTCTCTTGTTTCAGAAGTGGCAGTATCTGAAGCGGGAGTTGGCAAACCTGATAAACCTGCTGATACCCTGGGAACTTCGCATCAAGGAGATAGAATCTCATTTTGGTTCCGTCGTGGCCTCCTACTTCACGTTTCTCCGATGGTTGTTCTGGGTGAACCTCGTGATCACAGTCCTGCTTGTTGCATTCATTGCGGTCCCTGAGGTAATCACACACTTCCATTACGTGAGGTTTGAGGTTGTAACAGGAGTGACTGAACAAAACAGTCTTCTGAGGTGTTATGTCAGTCAGTGTGTTGAACTAACAGCTCATGAAAGTTACCACCAGTTCCCCCGCTTCAGATGCTGACTGCGGACCCTAAAAGTGCTGGGGAGAGAAAGGAAATGTTGCCCGAAGAGAAAGCTAAGGCCACGAATCTATTAACTCTGTGGGACTTTGAAGGGGTCCTCAGATACTCCCCCCTCTTCTATGGTTACTACACCAACAGGGACGGAACAAGGAGTGGATATCGGCTTCCATTCGCCTACTTCATGACAGGGCTCGCTGTCTATATTTACAGCTTTGTCGCCACTCTCAGAAGGTACTGTGTGCTACATTGAAGGGCTTCGAAGGGACACAGATTTAACACTCAGAATTACTGGGTTGCTGCAGTTTGTCCATGGAACACAAAGTTTCAGCAACCATTTATCTCCCTTTGACATAGCCTGGCCTCAGGCATTTGTACAGCTGTAGTTACTCGTATACTGACATGAGTGGTCCAGTAACTGAGGTGAGCTCTTTCTAAGGGACTCAACAGAGTAGGTGTCTCCCCCTCATTTGAGGATAGAAACAGGTCCAATTTCCAAAACGCTGTGTTTTCTAGTTTTTATGATACCGGATGATGGACAGTCCAGAAACCCCCAGTAATTCTGAGGGTTATATGCAATAGTCAGAACCATTTAGAATCTACACAAAGTCTAGGTTTACATCTGTTTATTTTCTCTAAGGATAGCTCTGACTGTACATGTGAGATCTGAGATTCTCAGACTGACGGCTGTGGGGACTGCAGTTTCTGGATGTGACACAGTGTGGTTTGGTAGAAGATATTGTTTTTGTTTCAGAGAAACATACTTCATTTTTATGTTACTTTGCTTTCCTATCACTGATGAATGATGAATTGGAAAGGATTTTGGAGGAAGCAGTCATGGCCTAATCAAGGTACTGTCCTGGAATTTACTGTGGGGGCCTGATGAAAATCATGAGAAACCTTAATCAGGATAGCTGGGATCCCAGCTAAGATTCACAAATACAGGTATCCATTGATATACAAGGTAGTTCATTCCATGAAAACTGATCATAAGGTGAGACTCCATAAATTGACACTTGTGATGTAGGGGTGTGAAACATGGTCAATGACCAAGGAGGATAGATCTGTGTTAAATGTGACGAGAGTAAAATTTTGAGGGAGTGGTATGGAGCAGTAACTGAGAAAGGGCTCTGGAGGATAAGAACTAACCAAGAACTGAGGGAACTATAAAGTGTAAGTATAAACCCCATGTTCTGGTAGCAGATATTGAACAGAGAATTGTGGTATGCTTGGGGCATGAGAATAGAGTGGATCAAATGAGGACTAATAACATTTTTAAAAATAAGTCAGGAGGTAGAAGCATAATGAGAAGGCCCAGATAGAGATTTCTGGAAGATGTAGAGAATGATATATGGGAGCTGAAAGTGAACAGATGGAGCCAAGGGGCATATAATACAGTTGAATGGGCATGTGCTTTAAAGTAGGCCAAGGTTCCTAAAAATTGTAGAGTCAAGGAGTAATTAAGTAAATGTGAACTGGATTGATCTGGCTTAGGTGAGGACCACTTGTAGGTTCTTGTGAAGACTGATGATGATCCCTTGTGTTCCGTAAAAGTCAGGGCCCCCGTGATGAATTGCTAGACTGTCAGCTCCATCAGAAGGAATTTGTCCTACAGATTTAGCTAGTTACTAAGACGACATTACATTACCCACAAGGTACACGTATTCCCCTGAAAGGTTATGTGCCCTTTTAAATGAACAGTACTCGACACTGGCATGATCTGCCCACAGGATGGCCGAGAACTCTCGCATGAGCAAGCTCTCTGAGAAGGATGATGAGTGTGTATTCACGTGGAAACTGTTTACGGGATGGGACTATATGATAGGTAATGCAGAAACCGCACACAACCGCACGGCATCCATCATCTTGGGCTTCAAAGAGGCGCTCCTGGAAGAGGCTGAAAAGAAGAAGAACGCTCGAGAGTAAGAGACTTATATGTATGTGTATATATAAAGGCAAAGCTGTCACTGTAACAGGCCGTGGAGGCCCATAGCGTTATGAGATGTCGAGGCTCCCACATTTTCTAGGCAATCGACTTACAGATGGTGATGAGGTTGTTAACCTTATGCACCGGCCACCCTTTACCCCCAGGAAGATTCCTGGTACTCATTTCTGTTAGAGGCTGAGTCAACCCCAGGGCCATAGTGCAGCTGGAAGGATTATGTCAATTAAAATATCCAGTAACCTCATCAGGAATTGAACCTGTGATCTTCTTGCTTGTAGTATAGTGCCTCAACCAACTATGCTACCTCATGCTCCATATAATCATCAGTTCTGTGAAAATCTCAACACTCATGAAGTGTTTCTGTTTAGGTGGAGAATTATTGGTCTTCGAGTTCTGGTGAACTTTGTCGTTGGTGCCCTTCTTGCTGCGTCAGCATATGCGGTAGTGGAAGTGGTGAAGCGGTCAACAGAACCTGCCAGAAACGAGAACTGGTGGCGTCAGAATGAGATCACAATGGTTCTCACAATGATCACATTCATATATCCCATTATCTTTGAAGTTTTAGGTTTCTTTGAAGGTCTGCATCCTCGAAAACAACTTCGGCTTCAGCTGGGGAGGTAAGAATATACCCATGATAATACCGTATTACTCAAAATGTGTGTATCACATTGTTTTGAATAGTTTCCATTACTCGATAGAAAAAACTATTCTCGATCATTGTACACATGGACGCTTTTTACATTATAAGGATGGTTGGATTTCATTTAATGCTTCAAACACAATGAAATTACACTTGCATTAAATCTTCCACAACTGAAGACATTGGCTCATTGTTAGTCAATTAGCACCACACTTCTGTCAACAGACGTCATACATACAGATATTTAGCAGAAGGAACAGGCTTTCATGTTATCTAAACCTGTGGTTATTTGAATGTCATCTGAGAGAAACATTTGAGTGTTTTTGTATAACTACATTACCCCTAAGTAGCAGGTAACTTCTTGATGAGATTTAGCAGCAGAACAATTAAAATGACTCTCATTGTGAGTGGGTTTCCTGTAAACTTCTCTGCACAGCTGTTTTGGTAACTAGGGTGTCCATAAAGCTGTAACGGCAGCAACCACCGCCATGTCCCTCAACCAGACCCCCTTCTTTCCTTTCCCCCCTCTCCACATGCCCTACGCTTGCGCCCTTCATCCTTTCACCAGGGACTGAGAGGCTCATCTGAACACTGGAGGGCCATTCTGCTGCACGCCGTGGAAGAGTCTGGTCTCGACCCCAAATTATTTTTTGGAATTTTGGTTTACTAAATTAACGGCGGAGTTGGTGGACGCTTGTACGTTGTGCCGTCCTTATCTGGGGCAGTTTGTATTTTTCTAATCAATTATACTATTATATTATTATATTGTTATATTCATTTGGTGTCTGTATTGTTAATATAGTTTCCTATCCCAAACCACTTTTCGGTCCTTGGGCTTTGGTACGTTTCAAAGCACAGGGTATTGTTGGGTGCTGTTTCCATAGTGAACTGAATTTCTGTTCCTATCTGAAGCTTATGATGCTTGGCATTAACAGAAAGTATATTCTGCTTAGTACTGATTGGTGATTGAGAATGGCTCTTTCAGATGGACCCAGCTGAGTAGGGACCATCTGAAGATGGAAACTGGTCCAGTTCTGAAATGTCGTGGTTGGAAAGCTTAAGACGATGAACAGTGACCAAAATACCAGTAATACAGTATTTACTGTTATCTTCAGACACATTTAGCTTTAACTGTATTACTGTGCTGTATAAATACAGAGCCTAATGTTTCAAATTGTCTCTCTCTGTTCCAGAATTATGCTTCTCAATCTGCTGAACTTATACACATTGATCTTTGCACTGTTTGGCAAAATAAGTTTACTGGTAAGAGATGCTCATATCCTAGAACATACATGGTTAAGCTTTTGGTGATGGAATCCAGTGAATTTTGTGTAATGGGTTCAGAGTGGCACAGTGTCAAAAGCCTGTTACTTGTGAGGTTAACAGTAAAACTGTGTATCTTACAACTTTCTGTCATTCATGCCCATGGGCTCTGGCAGGAGGAGGGTGGGGTACAAATGAGGTGTCTGCTCCACTCCCTGTGCATTTTTAGAAAAATTAAAAATTAAGAAGGAATTCTACCAAATACTAACACAAAGAGTTAAAATCATCTAAAAATATATACAAAACTATAATTTTGCCTGTCGTTCTGTATGGGTGTGAAACTTGCTCTCTGACATTTAGGGAGGAACATACAAGGTGTGGCAATAAAGAACCCGGATTACTTTTATGACTCATTTCCGGCCACGTCATTGACGAAGAGGAGGGTAGGGCATTGACCCTTGGACTTCCCTCTACCGTCACACAAAGTTTCATTCACGTGCATCGGTTAGTCTGGCCGCGACCATTGTTAGAAGCGGATCGTGTTTCTGAGCTCCGTCGGAATAATGCTGAGTGCTAATGCAGAACAACGTGCTAACATCAAATTCCTCACAAAACTTGGAAAATCTGCCACTGAAACTTACAATTTGTTGACAGAAGTATATGGTGATCAGTGTCTATCTCGCACGCAAGTTTTCGAGTGGTTTAAGAAGTTTATGGAGGGTAGGAAAAACGTCGGGAACGATCCAAAATCGGGC